AAGAATAACATTTTTGCAGAAATTTTGAGCTAGATAATGTGGGTAGTTGGAAAGTTTTGTAAGATTAACTCTTTTACAGAAATTGCATTATTTACAGAAAGTTTTGTAAGATTAACTTTGATTGTCTATCAATATATATAAACCATTTTTTGATGATTTTCTACATCTATCATCATTGGAAAATACAACTTCTTGTCCACAAGTTATGAAACTAGTTACAAAGAAGTATAATTTCAATACTGGGGACTCAACTTAAACAATGTAGAATTATAAGGTAGCTATTTGAATAGTGTATATAAATAAGGGGACTTTTCGTACACTTCCCAAATACTTCAGGGACCAAAGATGGAAAACAAATTATCCCGATCAGGACGAAATGCATAAAAGAGGCAACCTTGAAACCTCAAGGCAGATTTCAGTGGCCATTACCGGATTTCTGCCGGAGCTTTTCACTTCACTGCTCTAATTTTGATTCATAGACGCCGGCTCGATTGTAATCGGTATGTTTTCTTTCAGTTCTAATGCATTTTAAGTACAATCCAATCGTTTCTTTCTGCTCACGAAATCTGGAGATTAACTTCTTGCAAGGGTTTTTCTCCCGCTTTCGTGTCGTGATCGAGTAGACGTTTACGTTTCAGAACTAATCAGCTCTTTGGTAAGTAGTTTAGTTAAATTGTAGATGGTGTAGCTGAGCAAAGTAGTAGATGGATTAGGGTCCGATGTCAAAAAATTCTGAACTATTTTATGTTTATTTGTATGATTTGTTTCACTAGAAAGGTAAGTTTAACAGCACGAATAGAACTAAATGGTGTATTCTCGTTGATTTTGATCTCATATAGTCAGTAGGAAAGTTAAATCAGCTGTAATTGGAATTGTTTTATCGATGTACAAGAGAAAGAACAACATGATAATGGTTTACCTAATTATAAGCGTCAGTTAACTAGAGTTAGACCTAGGGTGTTTAAATTAGTACTCATTGTAAGTTTCTAGTTGTTCTTCGGAAGAACTTTTGATTTTGCCCAATGTTATGTATCAGTATCTGAATACTGAAGTCATCAGTTGACATGGAATTCATCATGATGCCATGTTTGACTACTCTGAAAAATGGTGTTTTTACAATAGTTAGACATTGTATGCAACTATGCATCATTAGTTCATATTGAATGACACCGAATTCCATAAATTTTGTATCTTTTACATATGCTTGCTTTCATCAATTTACAATCTAATGATCTATATGTATTGATCACACTTGGACCTAAAGTGATATGAAATCATCTATTCTGAATTTCTGATTATAATTTATATCTCACATATTCTTGCATAAATTCAAGGTAATAATCAAAGAAAGACATGGAAGATGTACTAACAGAACAACCCCCTCCTTCAAGGTTCTTCATAGAAGATCTCAATAACTTCACCCCACCCTCACCTCCCCTCCCATCCCCCTTCTTATTCCTCTCTTCTCCAAATTCCAAAACTACCCTTCAACCCTCTCTCCTAATCATCGCCCTTTCTCCCCCATCTCTCTCCTTACTCCACCACCTATCCTCAAAAACCCTAATCGGAACCCTAATTCTACCCGAAATCTCCCCCTCAGGAAACACCATCACCCCATCTCCAAAAGACAAATCTTGCAACTTATACACCATTAATGACTCCATAATCCTTGCAAACTTCCAATACTCAGTTCCTTCAGAAAGAACACACGCAATTGCCAAAACCCTAATTGGCGAACATATTCTTCCCAAAAGGGTTTTGATTCTTGATTCGATTCAAAGGCGTAACTTTCGTGGAAGAATCTCAACAGATGATACATTTGCAATGAAGCTAGAGACAACAGCTGAAAGAAAAGAAGCTCCATTGTTGAAAAGCTTGGACTATTTGCCCTCAGGAAGTGTTGTTGAAGGGTTGGGTGCTGCTTTGTTGGGTCGGTGCCAGATGAAGGGTATAAAGGGAATTTTGTGTGTGACATGGCCGGAGGTTGGTGGCTCTGTTACATCAATGGTTAAAAGTTTATTGCTTAAAGATGTTTTCAATGGAATGGAAGTTAGATTTGATGATAATGGTGAAGATGAAGGGTTGAAGTTTGGTCATAAGAATCATTACTTTGATTCTGAATTATACACTTAGTTATACTTTATACACTATGTTTATTAAGAATTTAGGTTATGACTTATGAGATGAGTCTTGAATATGGGTTTTTGATTTGTTTAGAAAAAAAAAATATGGATTTTGTTTTGTTTAATTTTCCTTCATAGTAATTTAAACTTGTTGGTCTTTGTTTTATGAGTTGGCATATTAGTTCTATGGTAACTTGTTGGATTAAGATGTGTGTAAGAGAAGCCACATTGTTGTTGTTCATTGCCATAACTCATAAGCATATGATTTTGTTAGTTAATTTTTTTTTTCTAGGAGTGAAATGATGTATGTTATAAAATTGATTATTTAATTAAGTTGTAATCTAAGGTTTAAGGGATTTGAACGAATAATTAGTTTGTAATGTATGGGTAAAGTGATTTTGATTGTGATTCTTAGATTATGTAAGAGTTCAATAGTTAGTTTGGAGAATTACTATCACATTAGTTGCAACAATATAACTAAAGTTGCTTATTAATATATCCTTTTTACCTTATTCTAAAATTAGTTATGAGTTATCCATCTTTTTTCATCGGTTTTGTTAGGAAAATAATATATATCATAACTTGGTTTATATTTAAAATTTCTATATAAATAAAAATAATAATAAATGTAAAAAAAACCAAGATATTGTCGATTGTAAGTAATTATGAATTAATTTGTTAACCAAAATAAAATAATAATGTTATTAGGATAAGATTTTGTATTTTCAAAATTTGGATTTAATTTGATTTGTTACCCCAAAAAAAGGAAATAATAAAAATCATTAAAAAATGACACGTGTCAAAAAGGCATTCTAAAAAACTGACACGTGTCATTTTTAGGTTTTATTTATTAGAAGAGGTAGATTATTGATGATAATTTTTTAAAATCTATCTATAAAAATTGCTATCATGGTTGATACTTGATTGAATATTTGACATTTCAGTTCTTCTAAATATATATAAGAAACAGGGGCGAGTTTAATATATGTTAAGATGTGTCCTTTGATCCATTTAAAATTTTAAAACTTACTACAAATAATATACAAAAAATATTAGAATCTATCTTAAAAAATATGGACCTAGCTTAAATAGGGAAGTACACGACGACAAAAACCATATTTAAAAAAAATGCAAGTTTAGGTCCCAAAAGTTCAAAAATAAATCATGAAACTCAAAAGATTATTCTTTCAGTTTACTTACAGTGATATTTAGGCATTTTATGTATATTATTTTTTACCATCTTTCGTCAAGTAGTCCAATAAAAAGGTTAATCGGTTTTAAATTAGTATTTATTAGCGGTATTATAAGTGAAATCTTCAAAATTTTATTTTATTTTATTTTTTTTAAACTTTTTTTTGTGTGTGTATGTGTGTAGTATAAGAGTATTCACAAATTAATACATGGTTCAATAAAAGGGTTTTAGTGAGATAAAATGTCAAAGTTCACATACAATGAAATTTGGAATGGTTGGGAAAAAACATGGTCAGACATTCTTAATTATTTTACATAAATATGTGTAGAGTTTGATGGACTATGAACTAAGTGACAAAGTGGTAATGGTAGTGATAATTCATTAAACTTTGTCGAGTTAGAGTGTGTTTGACATCAAACGTATGGAAGAAAAAGCTTTAGCTTTTAACAAAAACTTTGTTTGAGAGTGAATAAGGAACCGAGAACTGGACCGTATATCATTAACCGGTTCCAACAGATTTTAGTTTTGGTCCGGTTCTACTACGAAATGTACTATTTATGAAGGTGTTCGGAACCCAAACCGAATCGAAAACCGACAATGATGGATTGGGGGAACCGGACCGTGTACCACTAATCGGTTCCAATTGGTTTCGGTTTCGGTTTTAATTCGGTTTTTTGGTTAAAAAGCTTGTTCCTGGTTGTAAAAAAAACTTCAAATTTAAACGATACTTCATATATCATTTACGAAAAAACTATTGAGTTTTTTTAATAAAATTTCAGAATTGCCTTTAAAAATATATTTATATATTTATCTTTATAACAAATAAAAAACTATAAAGCTACAGGTACAGGCTACCCGTTACATATTCCAGCTACCAGCTATCAATTACCAACTGCCAACTATCAATTATCAATTATCAGCTACCAGCTATCTTTTCAACTGTCAGCTATCAACTACCTGTTAGTTTTGTCAAACACTTCCTTCCTTAATTATGGATGCCCTAAACCCGCTTGAAAATTTGAGCAATTAAACCTTGATAAGTTATTTTAGACAAATAATATTTGTTAAGGTCTTAAGGAGCTATGGAAATTAAGGATGAATATATTTGGAGTCGTATTGTTGAAGGTTGGTAATCAAATCATATAAAGTAATTAATTCCCAGAATCAAACAGAATCTTCACGATGACGTAACACTTCTCTTGCTACATGTACAAGAACCTTAGCTCCTACTAATTTTCTATTATTTAAATTTACAACACGCCAATTCCTTTAGTCAAGGCTAAACTTAATTATTTGTCTAGAACCAAAAATAGCCTCAAAAAGCAAGGGAACGGAGGCCTTTTAATGTAGGTCTCATTCTATATTTTTATTAAAAATTTAAGTCACAATAACAATAATCACTTGAAAAATAATGCTCACAATTCGAGGTATCAATGCAAGTCTTTCGAACCAAAAGGGGAGATAGCTAGGAAGACAATTGTATAGAAAAGTTGAAGTGGTAAAAACAAATATGTCGTAAGGAAAGTTGAATTTGGTAGCTTGTTTTGCTAATTCTCTTTTTCTTACACACAACTTGCAAATTTAATTTGGTTAGCCGATAGTGGTTCCATCTTCTTTGACTAAAACTATATTTTCACACGTATTTGTCTATTATATAGCCTCAGTCGCAACCATTTTAATTAAAGTACAACCCAAGAAACCAACAAACAAAATGGAAATCAAATCAACCATGATCATCATCTTCAATATTCTTTCAGTTTTCAGCCTATGCTGCCTCACATTTTTGCATGCATCTGACCCTCCATTGTCTTTAGATTACTACAAGTCTACTTGTCCAAATGCCGAAGCTATTGTTAGGAAAGAAATGGAGTGTGCTGTGCAATCTGATCTTCGAAATGCAGCCTTAATCTTACGTTTACACTTCCATGACTGCTTCGTGCAGGTCTGTTTATGATGATCAGAAGCTTCTTCAATTTCTTTCTTTCATTCCAGTTTTGTGATTTAAAGATTTCATGATTTGAACGATGTAGGGTTGTGATGGATCGGTGTTGCTAGATGATACATACACGTTACAAGGAGAAAAGAAAGCTCCGACTAACTTAAATGCTTTGAAAGGTTTTGAAATCATCGATAGGATAAAGAACAAGCTTGAATCTGAGTGTCCTGGAACAGTTTCATGCGCTGATGCTCTTACTATTGCTGCAAGAGATGCAACTGTGCTCGTAAGTTCATATGTTATCTTTAAGGTTAAAGATGGTGTTGTTTGTTTTTTCCAAGATGATATTGCTTATGTTGTTGTGGGTGTAGGTTGGTGGGCCTTATTGGGATGTCCCAGTTGGGAGAAAAGACTCCAAGACTGCTAGCTTTTCGCAGGTGGAAACAAATATTCCAGGTGCAAATGATGGGCTCCTCTCGATGATCTCTAAGTTTATGTACCAAAGCCTCTCCGTCACCGACATGGTTGCACTTTCTGGTAAGAAATCTAACCAAGGAAGAAATAATTTCTAACTCAGCTTCACAAAGATTCATTAGCTCTCATGGCAAACTTTTTTAAGTTAATTTGTCCGGTAAATTTATTTTGTACATAAACTGAAAAGAGTAGCTAGACTTCAACATATAAGTTTTAGCCGATGTGGGACACTAACATGCCCCAAGACGGATAAATTCTTGGACTATTAAACTAGTAGTGTTGAACTCGTTCACACTTCACACCACACCGGTTTCGTTACCATGTTAATTAAATTAGTATAGATTATGCGGAGTCCTAGATTTTCACTCCAAATGATCATCGACCCTTAATGGCCCTTGAGGGTGATTAGCCAATGTGATACACTAACACACCCCTTGAGACAGACTATGTGTTAAGACCAACTAATACCCTGCTAGTTAGATACGTAGAGTCTTGTATTTTCTCTCCAAATGAGCCATGGAGGGTAGATGCTAGATTCCAACATATATTTTGATAGGGGTGGAATTGGTATGGTACCAAGTTTTTTTTCTCCAAATCGTATACCGTACCAATTATAGTTGACATAAAGTTTTACCTATCAATACCGTACCAACTCTGTTGGTTACCAACAAATTTGGTTGGTACATATTGGTATTGGTATATACCAAAAATACTTAAATAATATCTATATTTGAAGACTTTGAGACTATAATCTATATAAGACTTCACATTATAATCATCACGGAATGGTTAGAAAGTTTTCCAAATATGAACGTGAGTTGAAGTTGTGGTCGTCGCTTGTTTTAGTAAATCCTTTTAATGTCATGTATCTTCCTTAACCTTGTGTTAGTAATTTATTTTACTATCATGTTTCGTTCAAAAAAGAATCAATATCAATAGAATTATATTAGTAACTCCGACTATTACTTGTTAGTTGTTACTCCTAATGAAAACTTGAAAATGTAAGAATTGATATATATATATATATATATATATATATATATATATATATATATATATATATATATATATATATATATCGGTTGGTATGGTACAACCGTGGTATTCAAAATTTTGTACCGTTACCGTACCAAGACTTCTTAATTGGCATGGTATTACCGGCCAAACATATTGGCTACCAAACATGTTGGCTACCGATTTTTTTGGTTCGATTGGTAACATGTTGGTTGGTTCTCCATGGTACATATTTGTCAGCCCTATATTTTGACACCTTATTACCAAAAGTTTGAAAATTGTGACATAGTTGTAGGCCAAAGGTGCTTATGTGTAAAGTTCTAGTTTCATTTAATTAAGAGCATACAAAATGCATAGTTTAACGGAATAGTTGAATGAGATGAAATATCTAGTTGACATTCAATAGAAACTCAACCTTAGTGGAATGTCATATAGGAGATCAATGGCTATGGAATTCAATAGTTGTTGAACTATTCAATGGGAAAAATAAAACTTTTTTGAGTTTAAAATAAAATATATGTTTCATTGAACTTTTGTAGAATTTAAAGTATCGTAGGAAAAATTCGATAAAGTTACAAGAAAAGTAGATGATGATGTGTAAATCCATTAAACTCTATACTCTATAGAGTTCAATGTCTTGTTAAGTCCCCAAGAAACAATGCATGTTTTAATAGAATGGTTTAACTATGTGGAATGGCTAGTTAATGAATTAAATTCAATCATAACATGATGACATTCAATGAATTTTGAGTTCAATGATAATGAATCGTTCGATGAAAAAAAAGAAAATTTTCTTTTTTGTAAATATGTTACATTGAATGTTATAGAGTTCGATGCATTGTAGAAATTAAGTTGAAGTCATATAAAAAGTAGAATGCTAATATGATAATCCATTAAAATTTATATAGTTAAATACATTATCATATGATGTGCTAAACTTTACAACATTATCATATGATGTGCCAGGTGCTCACACAATCGGTAAGGCTCGTTGTACAAACTATCGAGCAAGAATCTATGGAGACTATCAAACAACAGCAACTATGAACACAATAGCAGAGTCAAACCTAAAAAGCTTGAAGTCAACGTGTCCGGCTGCAGGGGGAAGAGACAATAACGAAGCACCAATGGACTATATCTCACCTAATCTTTTTGACAACTCGTATTACCACATCCTTCTTAGAGGAGAAGGGCTTCTTAACTCTGACCAAGAACTTTATTCCAGCATTCTTGGAGTGCAAACAAGCAAGCTTGTCAAGCAATATGCTGAAGATCAGATAGCTTTCTTTGCACAGTTTTCTGAGTCCATGGTGAAACTGGGAAACATTACAAATCCTGAAACTTATGTTGATGGGGAAGTTAGGAAGAACTGCAGGTTTGTGAACACATAAAGATGGTCTTGTTATTAATCCATCCTTATGATCAAGAAGAAATTTGTTTTTGTTTGCATGAAAAAGTGAGTGCCAAATGATGGTGAAACACAAATTAAACTATTTTGTTACTTATAAGGTTTTCATTTTATTCTTTTCATGTTCAAGATGTAACACATTAATTATCTTTACTGGAAATTATATTATATTGTTCTTAAAGTTAGTTCAGTTTGGTGCTATGAGATTTTAAGGTGCGACTGCAATCATTTAAACGTTTATATATGGTGTAATTAGTTAACACCATGAGTGAGAAGAAGTTGAATTAGGTGACTAGGTGAGCAACCTAGCAACGATGCCCGTAGGCCATACGCATGCATATATACATATATATCATGAAAATAATCTACGACCCACATCTCATTATTTTATTAGTGGGCCTCCTGATTAGGTTTCTCTATATAACTTAATTTATTGATTATGATTAAGTAATAAATTTTGTATCATAATACATTATTATTTTATCATAATGCACAGGTGCCGGAAAATGAAGCACCACCATAACTGTGCACAACCACCACCGGAAACCCCTTTTTACCGCCGCCACTAACCACCAACTCATTTCCCCTCCTTTTATTCACAAAATCCAAAAAAATGCATCAAAATAATATCAAAAAATTCTAAATCTTTTTGTAAACTCAGAAAATTATATCAAAACAATCTAAAAAAATTCTAAATATTTCTCTAAATCCAACAAATGCATAAAAATTTTAGATGGGTACAATGATTGACTCTTCCAGATGCATATCAGAAATGTCAATCGAGGGTTTGAATTTTGACACTTCAGATAGCGACGATGATTTAGGGTTTGGGTTTACCCATCCCCTACTCTAACCATCTCCTTTCCCTCCTCGATCGTCATTTTTGTCCGAGTTTGTCGATCTATTCTCCCTTCCGTCAAGGTTCGCTAGAAGTCGGTGTCTTGAGAGAGAAATGAGAGGGGGGGGGGGGGGGTTGTTGGAGACGAGGTAGAGTGATGAATGAGTGAGGGTTTGATGGCATAGTCGGAGGTGTCATGGAGTGGTCGGAGATGCCTTGGAGTCGCTAGAGTACTAAGTCGGTGGTGATGCAGGTGGTCGGTGTGGGTGGTGATGGTAGAGGGGAACCGTAGTGAATAAGAAGGGGGGAAGGCGGGTTATGAACAGTGTAAAGGGTTTAGGGCTATTTATTTCTTAAGGCAATAAATAAATACTTTTTTATAATAAACAAATTTTTAATAATTAATAAATAACAAATAAATACAAAAATAAATGAAAAAAATAGAAAAGGGCAATATGGTCATTTATGTCTGTTAGAGACGAAACATGCAAGTTTTAAACAAACAAGAGATGGTCCGAGTTAATTTATAAAAATAGGGACCAAACGTGTTTTTTGACACTTACACGAGAGACGATTCATGTAATTTACTCTAAATTTTGAAAGCTACCTCGTCACTTTCCTTTTTAAAGTATTGAAAGTCTTTCTAACAAAACTAAATGGACCAATTTCGTTTTTATGGCATCCTCAAAACTTTTCCTAATTTTTTATGTTTACTAAAATAACTATTATATCATAATATTCAATGGGATTTTCTAATATATATGTCCTAGGGGCACACATAAATGTTGAATCATGAGAGTTTAATGTTACAAACTTATAATTCATTATATCCTTTTAAGTATCCTTTTAATGTTTTTAGTTTATTTATTTATATATATTTGCTTATGTTTGTTATGATTTGGTGCAGAAGGGTATATTGTGTATAAGTTGCAGAAGTATTGGGCTGGAGTAGTGAGATGGTGAGGTTATGAAACACGCGGGTCATATCCGATCCATATTGTAGATCAGTGACCCGATTGACTAGTCAGAGGTATAAATTGATTGGTTGTGTGAGGAATGGAGACAGATGCGTATTCATCTTCATACATATCACTTCTTCTTTCTCTCGTCATTAGGGTTCTTGTTCTTAGGTTTAACCTTCTGTTCTTAATCAGTCATTCATAAGGTGTGTAGTATAGGTGAGTGATTGTAGTGAGGTTCTTTGTAGAGAGAAGAGTGTTGTATGTACTGAGGTTTTGGTTGTAAGTATTCTTGAAAACCTTCTAGTTCTTAATAAATAAGAACTGATGATGTTGTGATTTCATGTGTTTGTATTTCTTTTGATGGTATCAGAACCGAGTTACGGTGGTTTATGATCTGTTCTTTGTCTAAATCGAGTTAGGGTTTCAGGTCGTTTATTCTAGATCGAGTTAGGGTTTCAGGTCTTGTGTTTGGGTCTGGTTCTGACTCGTTCTTTTCCTCTCCTGGGGTTCTTTAGATCTGTTATCAGATCTAGGGTTTGTTTCCCATCTGTTCAGATCGTGAGGTGATCATCAACCTGGTTGTTCTCTTGTCACATCTTAAGAGTAAACGTTCGTGATAGTTGTAAAAGATTAGGGTTACTGTTGTGTTAATCCTAACGGCCAATGCTATCTCGACGGTCAACGTTAAGATTGTGCAAACAAGGTTCTAAAATCAGGTTGGTTCTGGCATTTGAATGCATGTTTCGATTTCTTAGCGGTGAATCCGTGTTTCAGATTCATCGGAACTACATTGCTGCTTGTTGAGCTTATTATTTGAGGATCCTTGTAAGTTTCACACACCTCTCTGTCTGTTTTTTGTTTTGATTCTTGGTGGTCTGGATAGATCAGTTATCTTCTGGTCATATTGTTGTTGGATTAGGTGTCTAAGCCCATAACTATTTTGGTATGTACTTGACCCGATTATGAGCATGGTCCTTTTGGGTTGCCTTCACCATAGCAACTGATAGGATGAATTAAGGAGAAAGAAGATTAAATATGATTTATTAATATATTATAAGAATAATATATTAAAAGAGAAATCATATTGTTTAATTAATATTAGTCAAGAATTAATTAAGAATTAATTTTGTGGCTAAAAGATATTAATTAAATAAAGGGGACTAATATTGCAATTATATGATAGTTGCAAATTGGGCTATGGATTCCTAATGGAAAGGGAATTGGACGAAATCTATGGGAAGCCCATATGAGTTTCGTCCAAGGGCTTTCTAGAGGGACTCCATGGGTTGCTTAAGGCCTAAGCAGAGAATTAGGGTTTCACCTAAAACCCTAGTAGCCCACACAAGTATATAAAGACCCCTAGGGCTCCCAAAAACGTGGCTAAGCTTTCTCTCGAAGATTTTGGACGTTTTTGGTTCTCCTCCTTCCTCTCCTAAGTCATCTTGTTGATAGTGGTGTTTGTAACTCCATTAGAGGTGCAACACTTGAGGCACTAAGATTTCAGAAGTCAAGATCAAGAAGGATTGTGATTATTATTGCTACATAACAGTCAAGGTAAAGTTTCTAACCCTAATCTGATGTCAATTTCGATAATAGCATGTTAGATCTAGGGTTTATGCTTTGGTATTCAATGTTGTTGTGTTCATAGTAGAAAACCTAGATCAAAGCAATTAGGGTTGCATGTACACCATAGGAATGATGTAATGCTCATAACCCATCAGTGGTATCAGAGACTAGGTCGTTTTTCTAGTGAATAGATGCAAAAGTGAACCACCAAAGTTCAAGAAAATCGAAAATTTCACCTTCTGACTTCTAACTGGCAGACTCACCGAGTCCATGAATGGACTCGACGAGTAGGTCCTACTCGACGAGTTCCATTGTGGACTCAACGAGTCCAGGGCTCTGGTGCCGGGACTTTCGATTTTTCTACTAGATTTTGTTGAGGATAATTGCCAAAACTCGTTTTTCTTGCCAAAATCTGATTTTTTAAGTTTGGAATGGTTATCTTCATCAAAATTGATGGATTTGGTTAAATATGGATAATATAGGATTATTATTAGTCATATATTTAACCTAGTAATTTGTAAAAGTTTCAAATTGCACCCTATAAGTTTTGTAGTTTAAATTTGAACTTAAAAGTTTTAGTTTTTGAAATTTAAATAGTTAAACCCTAATGTTTTGAAAGGTTTCAAAACTTGCCCTCAAGTTTTGGAATTTAATTTTAATTAAAAGGTATTAATTTTGAAATATTAAATTTTAAAACCCTAAAGTTTTGAAAAAGTTCAATTTACACCCTTATGGTTTATTAATTTAATTAAGAGTTTAATTGAAAGAGATAATTAATAAATCATAATTATATGGTTTAAGATTAATCAAATTAAAGGTCTAAGTTATTAAATAAGTTTAAACCACTTAGTATTTTAAAAGTATAAAATACACCTTATACTATATAACATTTAAAGGTTTAACATATTATATATGTATAAGTAAAGAGTCAGTCTTACCGTTAGTAGGCCTCATTCACGAAGCTGGTCTCTAAGGGGTGTTTAAGGAAATTGCCTATAAAATGGTGATTGAATGGGTATCCACTCTTACCCACCGCACTCTTGACTAGTGGAGGGTCGTTAGCCGAACGGGTAGGATAGGACACAACCTTCCATTATAAGAATAATGTAATGCAAGTAACTAAACCTTTTATAAATTCCCAAATCTTAGTTACTTTAGGAAAAATGTGGAATTGATGCTATTCCATGAAATTACACTTTGTACCCTTGCCAAGACATTAGTGGAGCGTGTGTGGTTAACCGGCACACTAATTTGAGTCTAGCGAAGGGGGAAAAGGTGACTCGATGTTTGTCATAGATCAATGGAGCATGTTTGGCTAACCGGCACATTGATTAGGTGACTGTAACATTGGGGGTACCAAGTATATTTGCATGGTTATCCATACCTTGTTTGTGATCCTCGGCATCCCAGTCACAAACATGAAGGGCATAATCGAGATTAAACATGCCATTGAAAAGTTCAATGAATCTCAAAAGATCTAGGAGTTTCAATTCATTTAAAACCTAATTTTCAATTTTCATGGTGGAAATTGGTAAATCGTCATTTACCTACCTTCAAATGTTCTGCAATTTGGATTACGACATCCCTCTTCCATTTTGTAGAATATTGTGTTGGATCCTAGCCTTAATATTTCATTTGGGTGTTATATTAAGGATTGAATCAACTAACTTGAATTTCTCCCGTTTTGTAGATGTCAAAATCTAACAACTATGCTCTTCTTGAATCCTTTGGAAAAAGTTTTCCACATGAAGATGATGTTCCACGATTGGATTGTGGAAATGGAAATCATGCTTCACTTCCTCCACCTCCTCCAATAATTCTCCCTGATCCACATGTTCGAAGACTTGAAAAGTTCAAGGTCACTCAAGCCCTATTGGCAAACAAACACGAAGATGGAAAGTATGTATGTGCTCATGTCTTGGATATGAAGTTGCATATTGACAGATTGGGAATGTTGGGTGTCGAAGTCTCTAGGAAGCTGGTTGTTGACTTGGTTCTTCAATCACTTCCTGACTCATATAGTGAGTTCATTAGAGAGTACTATATGATGGACCATGACGTGACCCTCATTGATTTGACTTATTTGCTTATTGCTGCTGCATCAGAAATGATTTGGCGGACTGGTCAAGCAAAATTGGCTGGTAAATCAATTTCCCAACCTTCTATGGACAATGGCGACATTGGAAGTCCAGAAAAGTTTTCT